CAGATGCAAAAGCCTCTAAATGCCATTTGAAATTTTCTTCTTTAATGATGATTTTTATCAAACTTGTATATTTAAGTTCAGTAATTTCACTTAAATAACAATTAATAGGTAATTATCATTGCCATTTAAGTGAAATCACTGAACTTAAATATACAAGCTTGATAAAAATCATCATTAAAGAAGAAAATTTCAAATGGCATTTAGAGGCTTTTGCATCTGAACTCTTCATATATACACACACACATATACGTTATAAAAATGATCTTGCACTGCGAGTTCTGAAGTGGTTGTTAATCTACCCAAAGTACCAGCAGTGCATTTCCAGCATCACACACACACTTCGCCTACATTTCCCTAAGGCGGGACACATCCCAGCTCACGCTGACGCCAACGAGCCGATGCTGAATCCGTCCATCCGTGCTTAGAGGACCTGCTGTCTCTCAGCGGGACGCTTTCGAAGACCTCTGACCTTTATCATCACGACTCGGGATACAATCTGCACCGCGGCCTTGCAGGTTCAGTTTCAAGAGACCGAGCTAACCGAGTCAGCGACTGAATCTCCGCAAGCCAGCCTCTGATTCCCTGAAGCCGTTGCCTCACACTGATATCACCCAACCGCCACTGCACAGCGAGAATAGAAAAGACTGAATGATATGTAGGCCTTGTGTGTGTGTGTGTGTGTTGGGAGAGTATGAAGGATCTCATTCCAAGATTGAAAATACCTTTACATGCCTTGCACTTTCTTTAATGCTGGGTCCCTACAAAATATTCGGTAACACTTTACTTGAAGGGGTGTGCATGAGACTGACATGACACCTTCATAATCATGACATGACATATGTTATGAATATGAAGGAGGTTTCATGCATGTTTGACATTTTGAATGCAAACATAACATTGTTTGAGATGTCTAGGTTATGACAATTTGACATAAACCAATACATCAGAACCTGTCAGTGTCTTTGTCATGACAACTTGTCAACCCATTTTTAACCCAACAGTTGGGTTTGTCCATATTTGACCCAAATTTGGATTAAAACAACAACCCAGCATTGGTTAGAGTGCTAGAACGATAACTATAACGATCATTTTAATAATTCAATGCTCTATGAGTTATATGAGAATTGGGAAGTCCACACAATAACAACACAGAGGAACGATATCATAGGAATTGCATTCAGCAAAAAACAACAATAAAAATATTGACAGCCAATCAGAATTGGTCCTGGTCTGAAGAGATTGAACATTTAAAGAGGCAGAACAAGTTATCATTACAGTTATCATTCTTGTTTTTGTATAATTATGAATTGCCATGAGAATATCAAGTTCTTCTATTCTTCCAAAATTTCCAAAAGTTGACTTGTTTCCAGATAATGTAATCTTAAATATATAATTGAATGGCATTTCAACATATTATATACAGTATATCCTACATTTGCTAACAACATCTGGCAAGCGTCTCTCAGAGTAATGAACAAACGATATGCCAGAAACGCTATTAAAAAAAAAACGTTTGTTCATATTTAATAAATGTTCTCAAAACTTTAGCACAAAAACATTATATTTTTGTTCATGGAACTATTTATTTTTTTCTGAAACGCTTTTGATGTTTGCCATTTTTAAAATGGTACGACTTGTTTCAGGATGTTTAGTTAACATTCAATATAAACATTATTATCATTATCAATTATCATTTTCATGGAAAGAAGCTTGCATAACCAATATAAAAACTTGGGAACATTAGCCGAATATTTGTGTTAACTGGGTTATTACATGATTCTGAGTTTGTTTTATGTTTTGATGGTTTATTGGGAGTCATCTTTTAAGGACTCTAAATCTCATCAAATGTGGAATAAATATGGTCGTCTTCAACCATCACCAGAAATCCAAACATTATTAGGATAGGATTGTATTTGTGAAAGCTTATGATTAGGCTTCCCTCTGGTGGTGGAGACGTGCAATAGCACAGAGTCACACACAGGCCTATTGAGATGCACTGCTAGAATCTGTCATGAAATGATGGATGTTCTGAGGCCGAATCAGCTGTATTACAAATCTCTACACACACACACACACACACACACACAGTTGTAGCGCTCCTGAATAGTCGTCTTATTAACAGTGTGACAGATATGTACGCAGCGGTTTAGGGAGATGTAGATGGTTTGTGTGTGTGGGCCGTCACCTCAAAAGAGAGAAAAGACACACACACACTGTTCAGTTCAGTCAAGTAAAGGGCGTTTTCTTCATTCATTACATACATTCACTGCAAACAGCAGCTGCTGAAACATCACTTGTGTGTGTGTGTGTGTGTGTGTGTGTGTGGCACAACTCATGTCAAAGTCTGTTGTTCACATTATTCAGACAGGTCTGTCTGTTCATGTGGGTGGAAGTGTTTATGTGACACTTCAGTGCATCTCTACACTCAAAGACAAATGCACACGAAAGGACTTACAGTGTAATCCATCAGTGAGATTGAGAACTCACACTTTCATCCTCCATCAACATCTGTTCCTGCACGTCAAGTGTGTTTATGCCTCCTTTTATCTCATGTTTGTTTGGTTCTGCATGAGAAAACATTCACTAATTTTTTTCAAAAAAATGTTGTTCAACAATACACTGTAAAAAATATTGTTGGTTTAACTTCAAAAATTAAGTAACCCGGTTGCATTAAAACTTGAAAAATTGAGTTAATACAATGAAGGATATTGATTTAATGATCAGAAACTCACAATATTATGTTACCTGAACTAAATAAATTATTTAAGTTGATTTGACAGAGCAAAAAATGTTGTGATAACAAATCATGATTATATTTTTTTTAATCTCTTAATAGATATTCTTTGTGTATCTAGACACTACAATATCTGAGACTTTTATTTGAGCCAAAACCACAGCAAACGCCCTATAAACACCGAAAACATGACAGTATCGCTCAGGGGAGTGAATCTATTAGAAAGCGAAGCTGCTGACTATCTCCTTTCTGAAGTCGCAGACTTATCTTCCTCAAAAACATTAGAAGAAAAGGTGAAGACATTTTCAACAACCGCATATAAAAATTATTCATCTTTAACAATAATGCAAGACAACGAATCCATAAAAACCCACACAAGATTACAAGATCTCAAATGTTTCTCCTAGAAATCAGAAATGAGAGTCTTGCTAAAGCCTCCGGATTCTCAGATGTTTATAATAATCAGAATAATAATAATCTCACATGAGAGATTTCAGATTAGCATCTCAAACTGTGCCCATAATTAACTAAAGTCAAAGATCTCATGTCGCATTAAATGATCTGAGCGTCTCTACACTGTAATACAAGATGTTTAGCAGTTTTAAATAAAATGAATATTGAAGTAAAATACTAACATTCTGTCTATTTTAAAATTTCACATTTACTATTCACTATTTATTAGTAATTATGTGTGAAATTTAGAAGCAATTTCTCAGTACAAATCTGATTTTCAATGTACATTTTTTTATAGATCTATACTGATAAAACTGTATTTGCACTGTAAAAAAATAATCCTGTAAAAAACCCATGGTAAACTACTGGCATCTCTGGTTACCAGAATTATACAGTAAAATATGGTGTTACTGTTTTTAAAATTAACAGCTAAATACCATTTTGTCAGCAACAGTATATACTTTAACAGCTTATACTGTAGCAGACAAAAAGGCATTTAGCTGTTAATTTTAAAAACAGTAACACGCCATATTTTTACGGTATGATGCTGGCAACCACAGCTGCCAATAGTTTACCGTTTTGTTTTTTTTTTGTTTGTTTTTACAGTATTTAGAATTAACAGCTAAATACCGTTTTTTCAACAACAGTATATAACTAATTTAACAGCATATACTGTAGCTGACAAAACGGTATTTAGCTGTTAATTTTAAAAACAGAAACACACCATATTTTTACGGTATGATTCTGGCAACCACAGCTGCCAATAGTTTACCGTTTTTTGACGTTTTTAAAATTAACAGCTAAATACCGTTTTTTCAACAACAGTATATAACTAATTTAACAGCATATAGTGTAGCTGACAAAACGGTATTTAGCTGTTAATTTTAAAAACTGTAAAAAAACAGTAAACTACTGACAGCTGTGGTTGTCAGAATCATACCGTAAAATATGGTGTGTTACTGTTTTTTGATTTAACAGCTAAATACCGTTTTGTCAGCAACAGTAAATAACTAATTTAACTGCATACTGTAGCTGACAAAACGGTACTGAGCTGTTAATTTTAAAAACAGTAACACACCGTATTTTTACGGTATGATTCTAGCAATCACAGCAGCCAATAGTTTACCGTTTTTTGACGTTTTTAAAATTAACAGCTAAATACCGTTTTGTCAGCTACAGTAAATAACTAATTTAACAGCATATACTTTAGCCGACGAAATGGTATTTAGCTGTTAATTTTAAAAACAGTAACATACCATATACTTTTTAGGTATGATGCTGGTAACCACAGCTGCCAGTAGTTTACCGTTTTTTTTTTTAAATAGTTTTTAACAGGTAAACACTGTTTTGTCAGCTACAGTATAACTAATTTAACAGCATATACTGTAGCTGACAAAACAGTATTTAACTGTTAATTTTAAAAACAGTAACACACCGTATTTTTAAGGTATGATGCTGGCAACCACAGCTGCCAATAGTTTACCGTTTTTTTTTTTTTACAGGATAATTTAATTACAGTCATCTGAGACAAACAGAAACATCTCCAAGAGCGACTTCTGAGCAATGTGCGTTTCCACTGGAAAGATATCAGTAAAGCGTGAACATCTCAGCAATAAAGAGATTCAGGTCATGAATGTACCGACTCTAATATGAGTTGAACTGGTTGGTGTCAGAACGTCTGGGATCAAAGAGCGGATGTCTTATTGCTGTCTAAGAGACAAAGCCAGATGAAAAGATAAAAAGAGGGAGTATTACAGGTTCATGTCAACCTCTGAACCAGATTATTATCTGAGTCCCCGGGTTATTAAAGGCGGATCCAGAGAGCATAAGATCCTTGTTGTGTCAGGTGAGTCGAACCGACGGGATAAATCACTCAGCGCTCACTCATCTATTGATCTCAGAACTGAAACAGTCACAGGTAGCATTTAACGTGTTGTTACTGCATGTGTTCATTCACAAAAGCAAATTGTTTGTAAGAGATGATGGTGTTTGGGAAGCCAAACTACAACAAACCACTTATTAAATTGTTTTTCCATCTGTGTTTTACAGGATGTTGAGGGTGTTACTGCTCCTGTTGGCTGTGGCTGGTGAGATTTATCTGCATCTTATTTATTGATACTATAATTATTATTTTAATACTCTAATTTCTAAAGGTGATTCTGTCACAAGTATTACAATTAGTACGGTGATGTTAAAAGGAAAAACGGGGTCTATGGGAAATCTCACATTATGAAATATTGCCATTTTTTTTTTTTTTTATTTATTTATTTGGATCCCCATTAGCTTCCACAATGTGGTTGCTAGTCTTCATGGGGCCCATAAAAGTACTGAAACTTATGTACAAAATAATAGTTATTCAATCATTATAAATTAATATGGGAACACTTTCTGTCATTTTGATTCATTTCTCTTTGCTTCTTCAAATGTAACATAATTTTTCTGTGACTAAATGTAGTACGTTTGTGTCTTTCCTCATTAGTTCCAAGGTTCACATACAGCATTCTTCTGAACTTTAACCTTTGTCAGGGCATAATCGCATGACACATTGGTACATTTAATCTTCTTGATAAAATATGAGATTACCTATTCAACAATTGAGATAGATACAAGTCATAAATCAGTTGTGCTATACAGTGATATGGCTTCTTTCTTCAATATTTAGATTAAATAAAGGTTATGTGGCATGGTTAATTAGTGAATCCTGTTTAATATCCCTTTCACATAAAAAACAGGGCTAACCAGCATTTAAAGCAACAAAAATGATGCGTATATGAACAGATAAAGTGTTACTTAAAGCCCTTGTTTAATGCATTATGAAGGTTTTTACAATGAACATTACAATCAAATATATCTAGTCATAAATAATTGTAAGCAAAGTTAAAATGCTTAAGTTATATTTGCAGATATAAAGTTTTAATGCATTATATTTCTAAAGGCATGTTCAATGAATGGATTATTTTAACTGTGGTTACAATTATTCATGAGACCATATTATAAGGTGCATCACAAAGCAGAATTACTGCATTAAAAATACTTTAATAATGCATTAAGGGCTTTAAGCAAAGTGTTACCAAAATGTTATATGTTCATGATGTACAGGTGAAACTCGAAACATTTGAATATTATGCAAAAGTTATAATTTTGATGATTATGGCATCAAACAGCTTGTGAAACAGCTTTGAGAAAATTCAATGAAATCTATAAAAAAAAAAAAAAAATACAGAAATGTCGCCCTCTGAAAAGTTTAATCATGCATATATATGAAGAGTTCAGATGCAAAAGCCTCTAAGTGCCATTTGAAATTTTCTTCTAGAATGATAATTTTTATCAAGCTTGTATATTTAAGTTCAGTGATTTCAATGATAATTACCTATTAATTGTTATTTAAGTGAAATTACTGAACTTAAATATACAAGTTTGATAAAAATCATCATTAAAGAAGAAAATTTCAAATGGCATTTAGAGGCTTTTGCATCTGAACTCTTCATATATACTAAATATATTAGTTTCACCATTTAATTTAAATTACTGAACTTCTAATTTTTCGAGTTTCATCTGTATGTGCAGGTCTCCATGCAAGACCTCTGCATCAATTCCCAAATGGTAGACTGAAACCAATATGGCCAGACAAGGCCCAACACGAAGACAGAGACAACATGAACACTGGCGTGAAACCCAAGAAGCAAACAGCCGTTCCTGTTGAGTTACGCAGACAGGGAACAGAACCATCCCGACGCTTCCTGATGGATCTCAACACTGGGATGCTCAAGAACGAAATCAGCGAAATGAACAGAAGAGTTTCTGGGTGTATGTCTGTGAAGTCATTTTTTTTAATTCAATGCACATAGAAGATTGGTCATATTTACCTATTTTTCTTTCTCCCCAGTCTACAATCCTCCAGCTTATGGGAAGAGGCAGGGAACAGAACCCTCCAGACGCTTCCTGATGGACTTGAACACTGGGATGCCTTTACATGAAGTTGGAGAAATGAACAGAAGAGTTTCCGGCTGTAAGTCTGCCAAGACATTAAAAAAAAAAACTCAAAGCACAGAAGATTGGTCATATTTACCTATTTTTGTCTTCTCCCCAGTCTACAATCCTCCAGCGTATGAGATGAGGAAGGGAACCCAGAACTCTCGGGCCACTCTTGTGAATCCCAGAACCGGACAGAAGCTGCCGCAACTATCAGAGCTTCAGAGGAGGACAGCGCCATGTGAGTCTTTCCAAACGTCTACACAAACGACATCAGTCACGTTTTAAGACTTGACATTTATTACAGAATTGTGTGTTTGAGCGTAGCAAGCGGCAACCTCAAATAATTAGAACATAATCTGTTATGATAATCTGTTCTGGACAATTATATTTTATATGCACATTTGCAGTTTAAGTGGCTGCCGTAGACTTCCCGAAAGCATCGTTAGCCAACTAATGGTCGCAAGTTCCGTCGTTATCAGCAGTTCAACGAGTCGGTGTTTCCCGAAACCATCGTTCCAACGAACATTCGCAAACAGCATCGCAGAGTTGTGTGGTTTGAACGACAGCTCTCGACCTGTGGTGGTTAGAGGCATCGTTTCTATATTGATAAATCAATATATATATTGATATATATATTGATACAAAAACCCAGATAAATCCTTATCTTGAGCAAAATAAGCAAGCTGACATACAATTCAACCGGTGCCTTTTATTCATAATACATACAAATGGAATTTACGTCTTTTAGTTTGTCAAAAGATTTGAAGTAACGTGTTTGAAGAGTGCGCGTGTGCGAACGTGCTCTACTATGTAAGAACGAGCCAAATATTGAGTCTAAATAACTGAGAAAAATCTGAAATAGTCCTCAGATTACATGTTTGTAAATTATATTAAAACAAATCTAGCGTTAATTGGATCGCAAACAGTTTCATTAAAAGTAGTTATTACTCCACCACGTGCGAAACCAACGTTGAACGATACTTTGCGACAGTGGGTTTCGGGAAACAGGAAAGATGCATCGTACTATGATAGTGAAACAGTGAACTACTGTCACTACCACAGTACGATGCATCGTTGGAGAAATCAACTAGCTAATCGCGACTGTTTCCCGAAACCCACTGTCGCAAAGTATCGTTCAACCATGTTGGTTTCGCACGTTGTGGAGTAATAACTACTTTTAATGAAACTGTTTGAGATCCAACTAACGCTAGATTTGTTAATATAAATTACACACATGTCATCTGAGGACTATTTCTGATTGTTCTCAGTTGTTTTGCTTTATTGCCAGACTCAATATTTGGCTCGTTCTTACATAGTAGAGCACGTTCAAGCACGTTACTTCAAATCTTTTGACAAACTAAAAGACGTAAATTCCATTTGTATGTATTCTAAATAAATGGCACCGGTTGTACTGAATGTCAGCTTGATTATTTTGCTCAAGATAAGGATTTATTACCTCCAAATGTCATGCAATATAGAAACGATGCCTCTAATCACAGGTCGAGAGCTGTCGTTCAAACCACACAACTTTGCGATGCTGTTTGCGAATGATGGTTTCGGGAAACACCGACTCGTTAAACTATGCAGATAACGACGGAACTTGCGACCATAGTTGGCTAACGATGCTTTTGGGGAACACACCCCAGAGCTGGTGGACCAGCTGTTCCCAAGCAAACAACAACCAGCGTCCCATGCATGAGCATAAACGTGAGATTAGTCTCTTTTTTGAGAACCATAAGACTTAAAAAGTCTCCAATTGTTCTTGTTTAACCTCATATAGGAAACTTTTCAACTGTCTGAGAGATAATAAATCTCATTGTGATTTTTTAATTTTATTCATATGGGATGTTTTGAAGTGTGACAGTCTCCATTTGTTGTGGTATTTCTCCAACAGTGGATGATTTCAGACAAGACCACGTCCAACACATGATGAAACCACATGAGCTCAGAGCGATCCCTGCTGAACCTTCCAGAAACGTCCTAATGGACCTGAACACCGGTCTACTCAAAGAACACAGGAACGAGTTGGACGGGAGAGTAGCAGGCTGTAAGTCTCACTTTCTAATGGACGATCTACAACCCTTCTGAAAACACCTGCATTTTGCTGGTGAACATATGACTAATAATATTATACCAACAACGTTTTGTCAGGAAAAAAAACTCTATTTTATAGGTTGATTGCACTATCGAATGTAGAAATGGTTGACGTTACACTAAGAAATTTAACAATGTACATTTCTAGGCCATTGGTTTCAAACCAAATTTGGGTCAAATATGGACAAACCCAAATGTTGGGTTAAAAATGCAACTACAAAAAGTTGAAAGTTGAAGTTGGGTTAAAATTAGAAATTACATTTTTAACCCAACATTTGGGTTTGTCCATATTTGACCCAAATTTGGGTTAAAACAACCCAACATTTTTTAGAGTAAATCAAGTTACATTAACTCTAATCGGTGCTGGGTTGTTTCAACCCAAATTTGGGTCAAATGTGGACAAACCCAAATGTTGGGTTAAAAATGCAATTACAAAAAGTGGAAAGTTGAATTGGGTTAAAATTAGAAATTACATTTTTAACCCAACATTTGGGTTTGTCCATATTTGACCCAAATTTGGGTTAAAACAACCCAACATTTTTTAGAGTAAATCAAGTTACATTAACTCTAATCGGTGCTGGGTTGTTTCAACCCAAATTTGGGTCAAATATGGACAAACCCAAATGTTGGGTTAAAAATGCAATTACAAAAAGTGGAAAGTTGAAATTGGGTTAAAATTAGAAATTACATTTTTAACCCAACATTTGGGTTTGTCCATATTTGACCCAAATTTGGGTTAAAACAACCCAACATTTTTTAGAGTAAATCAAGTTACATTAACTCTAATCGGTGCTGGGTTGTTTCAACCCAAATTTGGGTCAAATGTGGACAAACCCAAATGTTGGGTTAAAAATGCAATTACAAAAAGTGGAAAGTTGAAATTGGGTTAAAATTAGAAATTACATTTTTAACCCAACATTTGGGTTTGTCCATATTTGACCCAAATTTGGGTTAAAACAACCCAACATTTTTTAGAGTAAATCAAGTTACATTAACTCTAATCGGTGCTGGGTTGTTTCAACCCAAATTTGGGTCAAATATGGACAAACCCAAATGTTGGGTTAAAAATGCAATTAAAAAAAGTTGAAAGTTGAAGTTGGGTTAAAATTAGAAATTACAATTTTAACCCAACATTTGGGTTTGTCCATATTTGACCCAAATTTGGGTTAAAACAACCCAACATTTTTTAGAGTAAATCAAGTTACATTAACTCTAATCGGTGCTGGGTTGTTTAAACCCAAATTTTGGTCAAAAATGGACAAACCCAAATGTTGGGTTAAAAATGTAATTTAAAATTTTAACCCAACTTCAATCGCATTTTTAACCCAACATTTGGTTTGTCCATATTTTACCCATTTGGGTTAAAACAACCCAGCACCGTTTAGAGTGTATGTAGAACTTGATTCACTCTAAACATTTTGGGTTGTTTCAACCCAAATTTGGGTCAAATATGGACAAACCCAAATGTTGGGTTAAAAATGCAATTAAAAAAAGTTGAAAGTTGAAGTTGGGTTAAAATTAGAAATTACATTTTTAACCCAACATTTGGGTTTGTCCATATTTGAACCAAATTTGGGTTAAACAACCCAGCATTGTTTAGAGTGTATGAGTTACTAAACATTAAACAGCAGGAACTTACAATGTTAAGTTTGGTGGCACGATCAGTTTAGTCACTGATGATGATTTCTGGTTAAAGCATGGGAACTTATGATGACATAATTATTTATTATGCAGAACTGCCAGTTCTGAATCCTAATTGCTTCAAGTTTTTAAGTATTCACAACTTCTGATTTTTAAGTGTAATGCAACAACAACCAAAACAAAGTCTAGTTGGTCTTTTCAAAACAAAAGGGAATCTAGCGTTTTTGCCAGTTTGGACTTATGTTTTCTTTCACCTTCATTAGCAGCCAAATGGGAAGTGGTTTCTGGCTATGAGCACGAGGACATAAAAAGCCAAGACTCTTCTGAACGTAAGGAAAACCGCGTAGCCGTTCCTGTTGAGTTACGCAGACAGGGAACAGAACCTTCCAGACGCTTCCTGATGGATCTCAACACTGGGATGCTCAAGAAGGAAGTCAGCGAAATGAACAGAAGAGTTTCAGGCTGTACGTTTGCAAAATAAGTGGATTTCAAGTTTCAACAACTATTATTAACCATATTATTTTCTCCCCAGTCTACAATCCTCCAGCTTATGGGAAGAGGCAGGGAACAGAACCCTCCAGACGCTTCCTGATGGACTTGAACACTGGGATGCCTTTACATGAAGTTGGAGAAATGAACAGAAGAGTTTCCGGCTGTAAGTCTGCCAAGACATTAAAAAAAAAAACTCAAAGCACAGAAGATTGGTCATATTTACCTATTTCTGTCTTCTCCCCAGTCTACAATCCTCCAGCGTATGAGATGAGGAAGGGAACCCAGAACTCTCGGGCCACTCTTGTGAATCCCAGAACCGGACAGAAGCTGCCGCAACTATCAGAGCTTCAGAGGAGGACAGCGCCATGTGAGTGTTTCCAAACGTCTACACAAACGACATCAGGCACGTTTTAGGACTTAGAAATTATTTAAACATTTATACTTGCACTTTGGGGAACTGAAGTGCCTTGGTACGCAAAGCTTTGTTTGATGCGTCGACGTAGGTGGAACATACTGAATAACTCCTCCCCCTTTTCAAATAGCCAATAGTTTGTTTGTTTACATCACAGACTGCAGTCATACTTGACAGCACCATGGAAGCGAATCAGAGCGCTGATGATACATTGGATTTAATAGTAATTATAATAGTTAATAATAATTTAATAGAGTTGTGAACTAATTCTATCCATTTCATTCTTAACCAACATACAGTTGGAAGATGAAATAAAAACTCGAGTGTTTGAGTAACCGAACACACTTCAACACGTACTGCTCTGTGACGTGTCAACGCTCGCTTTGTCCAAGTGGTGTTTATAGTGTAGGGGGCGGAGCTTTAGATTCTAGAGGGCATTTGATTGGACAGGAGATGCGATGACAAGCTGAAGCCCGCGGTGATGTCATAAAAATCCTTGATTTATTTTATCAAAAGTGAGAGACTGTAAGTTTTAAAGGCTTATTTCTCCTAAATGTGAATTTTGTCGTTGTTGTTTTGGAACACACCAGCTTATTTATAACATTAAGGCTAACATATTCATCCTAAGAGCTAAAAAAAACTTTAAAAGAAAATTCTGTCATCATTTCTATCCATATTAAAGGGTTAGTTCACCCAAAAATGAAAATTTTGTCAGTATTTACTCACCCTCATGTTGTTCCAACCCCGTAGGACCTTCGTTCATCTTCGGGACACAAATTAAGATATTTAAGATATTAAGATCGCTCCTGAATACTAGTCCATAGGCTTCTTGAGGGAATGACTCTTGCTGTCCTCGAAAAGTCATCAAAGACATCGTTAAAATAGTCCAAGTGACTACAGGGGCTCAATCTTAAGTTTATCAAACGACGGGAACACTTTTGTGTGCAAAAAAACAAACAAAAATAATGACTTTATTTCAACTATTCACTTCCTTCTCCATGGGCCTGTAGTCAGTTAACGTAGTGTGATTGCGTAAAGCTACGTCACACGAAGGCTCACTATTGGTCGACGCTGGTCATGTGTGTGTGATGCGTGTGACTTACAATAACAGAAGCTTACGCTATTAAACTAGTAACCTGACTCGCGCAGAGGGAGAAATAAACGAATAGTTGAAAAAAAAAGTCGTTATTTTTGTTGTTTTTGTGCACAAAAAGTGTTCTAGTCGTTTGATAAACTTAAGATTGAGCCCCTGTAGTCACTTGGACTATTTTAACGATGTCTTTAATGACTTTTCAAGGCCAGCGAGTCATTCCCTCAAGAAGCCTATGGACTAGTGCAGGAGTGATCTTAATATCTTAAATATCTTAATTTGTGTTGCGAAGTTGAACAAAGGTCTTACGGGGTTGGAACAACATGAGGGCGAGTAAATACTGACAGAATTTACGTTTTTGGGTGAACTAACCCTTTAAATGTTTTCCTTCTGTGCAACAAAAAGCGTTCAAGCATTGAAGACATGCTTTTTTGACTGAACTAATCCTATGTTTTTCTGTATTTATCCTTTAACAGTGAATGAGTTTAGACAAGCCACTGAACACCAGCCGCAGGTCCTACACGAGCTCAAACACGGCTCTGAACCATCCGGAAACCTCAAGATGGACGTGAACACCGGTCTACTGAAAGAAAACCAACATAAGATGTCCAGAAGATCACGCTGTAAGTCTCAATTTCAAATATCTGAGAACAAGACATGTTGTGCCATTGAATTAAAGCTTATTTGTTGATGTTGAAGATCTCATCCGATACTTTACAAGCCAATGGATTAGGAAAAACGTAATGGTTGCCTTGCTCGACTCGTGTTTTCTTTCACCTTCATTAGCAGTCGAATGGGAAGTGGTTTCTGGCTATGAGCACGAGGACATAAAAAGCCAAGACTCTTCTGAACGTAAGGAAAACCGCGTAGCCGTTCCTGTTGAGTTACGCAGACAGGGAACAGAACCTTCCAGACGCTTCCTGATGGATCTCAACACTGGGATGCTCAAGAAGGAAGTCAGCGAAATGAACAGAAGAGTTTCAGGCTGTACGTTTGCAAAATAAGTGGATTTCAAGTTTCAACAACTATTATTAACCATATTATTTTCTCCCCAGTCTACAATCCTCCAGCTTATGGGAAGAGGCAGGGAACAGAACCCTCCAGACGCTTCCTGATGGACTTGAACACTGGGATGCCTTTACATGAAGTTGGAGAAATGAACAGAAGAGTTTCCGGCTGTAAGTCTGCCAAGACATTAAAAAAAAAAACTCAAAGCACAGAAGATTGGTCATATTTACCTATTTCTGTCTTCTCCCCAGTCTACAATCCTCCAGCGTATGAGATGAGGAAGGGAACCCAGAACTCTCGGGCCACTCTTGTGAATCCCAGAACCGGACAGAAGCTGCCGTTACTATCAGAGCTTCAGAGGAGGACAGCGCCATGTGAGTGTTTCCAAACGTCTACACAAACGACATCAGTCACGTTTTAGGACTTAGAATATGATTAAAACGTATGCAATATTAAAGGGTTCTTTCCATTCTAATTTGTACCAAAATGTTTTCTTCTTCTTCTATGCAACACAAAAATTATATTGTGGAACTTTCAAAAATGTAAAATTTTAGATTTGTGAATTATCACGTTTTTTTTTTTTTTTTTTTGCGAACTTTTGCTCAGAATCGGTGAGCATTTTCTAATCAACAAAAGCTATCTGCCCTGGCTAAGTAATAAGGCATTATTAAGTTAAATAACGGCTCATTTTGCTTGTCATCATTCTTTGAACTTAAGTTGTGTTAACTTAACACCTCTAAAATAATCATGCAATTAAGGGCCCAAACTAAACAAATCCATGCATAAAAATGCTGAAACCAAAGTGATTTATTTATTTCTGTGGTCATTTTCCAGATGTTTGACTGTGACTGCATGAAGACCATCTCTGGATCTATCTCTATGCATCTGAAGTGTATAAGAAGCAAGCTGTTGTCCATCATATATGTAGGCTAACTGTCTATCTAGCAGACTTTACCAATTTCAGAGGTTTCATGCAATATTTGAACTTACCTCCTGTTCTTATGATCTACAAAATAAATGCATTTACAAAATGTTACTTTTGATGTTTTATTGATATTTAAAAACTGATGTTTTACATGTTTTTACGGTTTTATCTTAGTGACCTGTGGGACATCTTTTCTTATTATTTGGTGTGTTAAAGCGCCCCTGCCAACTTTATCCCTTAAAACTCATCTCTGATCACCACAAATGATCATATTTAAACGTTTTTTCCATGGAAAAAATGTATAAAAGCCATAAAATAGTCTGAATGTAACTCTACAACCTTGTCTCATTTATATGTGGTTCTATGAATATTCAAATGAGCCCCGCCTCCACTCACTCACTCAGCTCAGAGATCCACTGGTTGATCAAGGGGTGCATTTCCCGTCCAACGAAACCCATTGTCGCAAAGTATCGTTCAACCACGTTGGTTTCGCACGTGGTGGAGTAATAACTACTTTTAATGAAACTGTTTGAGATCCAATTACCGCTAGATTTTTTAAATATAAATTACAAACATGTAATCTGAGGACTATTTCTGATTTTTCTCAGTTATTTTGCTTTATTACCAGACTCAATATTTGGCTCGTTCTTACATAGTAAAGCACGTTCGCACATGCGCACTCTTCAAACACGATAATTCAAATCTTTTGAAAAACTAAAAGACGTAAAATCCATTTGTAAGTATTCTAAATAAAAGGCACCGGTTGTACTGAATGTCAGCTATCAATCATACTACATACATACATACATCAGCATCTATGCTAACAATAAAGTTATACGCCTTATTCACGGCAGCGCCATCTTTGATTTTTAATGAGAATGAAAGCGAGGCTGTGAGGGATAGACTTGCATCTCTTCAAGGGGCTGTACTGTTATTTAATGTGTTTTCGGATTGTACTGCTCATGAAACACTGGAAAAATATCTTTCCAAGAAATGTCAGTTGACAAAAATCTCCCGACATTATAAGCTGTGGAAAATTGTAAGTAATCTAGCCGCTTTATTCAGCTTTTTACAGCGGATGCCATTGGAAACACGGTGAGTCTATCCCTCACAGCCGCACTTTCATGCCTGTCATGGCGCTGCTCTGAATAAGGTCTATAGGCCTAATCACATTATGATCAACAAAGCTGTCAACACACATTTTAATGCATCATATTTGCTGATTCAAAATATGATAGTTGTTTAGCAAGTAAAAGTCTATTTAAAATAATTGTATATGTCCACCTTCAGCTTATGGTTTTATAAAAATCATGTTCAAATGTGAATATCAATATCAAATATGATCTGATGAGGCTTCTGATGAAATTTTATTTTTTTTTATCCCTCAATCATAATTGTTTTTAAAACGAATTATTGATTGGTTTAGTATTTTATAAACTCTTTATAATTTTCACTGCATCATACTCGTATATGAGCCATAAAAGCCTGATGTGTCACATATGATTCAAAACTTTTTAGATTTTCTCAAAACAACAAACCGTTCCATCAAAACTGGGGTAACTTGGTGGTACTAAAATAATAATTTGGTTATCATGGTAACTTTCGATGATTACTGAAGCGTTATGAGTCGCGTGGAGTCTCTAGCTCGATTATTATAGATTATATTATTACATTATTAGCTAAATATTTAAAATGTGCCGCTTTCGTGTCGCTGTGGTGACCGGAGGAAGAAGCAGTTGATGAGGCATTCTGGGATACTGGCGGACCCAGCAACGCTTCTACTGTGATGGCGACCGATATCGAGCAGATTTTCAGGGATTTTGTAATGAATAAGATTAAAGAAATCGAGGATGAAACGCAAGAAATCAGGTAAAATGTCCGATTGTTTATTTGTGACTGAAGGTATAGCGTGTTTCATTAAAAACGCGTTGATTTTTTTTAGCCGACTAGCTTAACATTAACGTTAGCTGTTATGATCACTGTACACTAACTCCACTGAGATAGCTAGTGTTTGAAGATTTAGCAATCAAGGTGTTGAAAATGATTGTGTATTTTCTCGTCGACTCTCATCGTTTGTTGCCTTCTGTACTAACACATAACGAGGATCATGTTGTTGAAAATAGCGTTGAAGTTATTCCAGTGTAACGTTATAAGAGAATAATATCTCTGTAACGTTATTATTAACATGATACATTTTGTGTATCTAATTTTGTAAAAGAATAAAATTTTTAACATTTACAATAAATGTTACCATGGTTAGCTTTCACTATAATTGTTTCATATAAATTTGTAACACTTTTAAAAATGTTAACACTTCTATCATAATTGTTGATTCAGTGATAACAACATTTCTGGGTTGTTGTCAATTGACAGAATTGTAACGCAATACAATGTTGTTTTTTATCTGAAACGCAAAAACTAAAATTTTGACTTTTATTATCCTCTTTATTATGAAGCTGCTTCGAAACAATTGGTAAAGCACCATATAAATACTAAAATGACTGGATTTGTCTAGTTCTATGGTCTCTGGACACAGTCACTTTACTGGTGTTACAGTATTTTATTTGTGTTCCTGAGAGTAAGAGATTCCTTTTATTATTATTATGATGAATTCTATTGAATTAGGTGGTAGACGCGTGATTATTTCACTTAAGAAATCATCTACATCTGCGTCTGTGTTAAATGAGTAATAAAATGTTTTTTTGTTTTTTAATTCAGTGTTACAGATGAGCCACAGTCTGAACCTGTGACGGATATGAGAGAAGATGGACTAAAGGAAGAACAAATAAACTCACCAACAGGTTAGTTGTCAATACATCTATGTTTTTGTATTTTATGACATATATTCTGACACTAAGTCGTCTTTGCTTTCACTACAGATAAAGTCACACATACTGACCTCCAAGATAACCATGCTAAAGAGGACACCAGCACTAAACACAGGAAAAGTAAAAAGCACAAAAAACACAAAAGCAAAAAGAAGAGAAAGAAACGCAAAGAAGGAAAAGACAGCAGCTCAGAGAGCGAGTCCGACAAAGAGACACAAGAAAGGTGAGACGCTTACAAAAGAGAATGTTAATAAGTCACCCTTGTGTTTTATAGTATTTATATTTAAAAAATGTGACAAGATCCGTTTGTTTAATGATTGAGTATCTTTCTTCTTAACATTTGATCATTTAAACTGTTGAATCATGCACCACTCTAATGTTTTTATAAACTCTACAGCTGTTTAGGTTCAATTATAACTTTGTTTCAATTTGGTATTTTTTATTTCTAATGTGCATATTTTTTCGTTGTCCAAAGTGGAAAGAAAAAGAAGAGAAAGAAGAAGAAAAAAAGCAAAGATGCAGACAAAGGAAAGAGGTCTCGCTCAAAGTCTGAAAGCTCTTCAGCGTCTGGTTCTGAATCCGAGTCTGAATCGAAACCTTCTAATGAAAATACAAAGTCTGAGCTCAAAGACACATCTGCCGTTTTGCCTGACATTATTCCCAAGATGGAGAATTCTGTCCACAAAAGCACTGAAAACGAAAGGCCCAAAGAGAAGAAAAGAAGCTCCAGCAGAAAATCTAAAAGTAAGGAGACTTCTAGAGGATCGAGATCAAGATCCCGGTCTTCGAAACGACACCGTCGCTCAAAGTCAACCTCCCGCTCTAGAAATAGCTCCAAAAAGACTCATAAACAGAGAGAGAGAAGTAGATCAAGGTCAAAGAGGCGCAACAATCGGTCCAGGTCTCATTCAGTCAGAAGAGGCAAACATTCAAGATCCAGGTCGCGAACCAGATCCAGGTCTGTTGTGATCTCGAGGAAGAACAGAAGATCTAGGTCTCGAAGTAGACGCCGCTCCAAGAGTAAGTCTCAAAGTAGAACGAAACCTTCAAAATCAAGGTCCGTTTCAAAATCAAAGTCTGATCTGAAAGATGAACCGCCGAAAACTGAATCGATTAAGAGTGATTCAGATCCAGCATTGGACGTTTTTACAAACTGCGCGATGGAAATGCAGAAAAATGTGTCTCAAAACACAACTGAGAATGGAAAAAGTCCAACAATGGCTGTGTACACTGACGTTGCGTCTGGTTTCAACACAGTTGGAGGTACTGGATCTTGGCGACCAGTTCCCTTCATGGCAGAGACGTCTGTGACCAAGTCTTCCCAAATGTGCATTACACCTGAGGTGCCTTTGGAAGTGACCAATGTATCTGAAGAACCGTCAATCGTTACGCCAAAAGATTCGGAGTGCGCTGCCAACCCTGACGAGAAAGAAACCGACGCAACCAACGAGAGGAGCTCAACCTCACCGTCCAAGTCTCCCAGTCAAGAAACGTCCTCAAGATCTAAAGTAGCTGCACGATCCAGATCAAAGTCGTCCTCGAAAAAGAGAAAATCCAAGTCTCGGTCGCCCTCGGCGAAGAAATCGCACAAGTCCCGGACGAGGAGCAAACGTTCGAAATCCAGGTCGCCCAAAAAGAGAAAGTCGAGATCTCGTTCACAAGGTCGTAGGAGGAAATCTCGAACCCCAGACAGAAGCAGGCGATCTAAATCAAGGAAGAGGTCTCGCTCGCGTTCGAGGAGGAGATCCCGGTCCGGCTCGCGCTGGAGAAGAGGAGGTTTCGGGAGCCGGTCGCTGAATCAGCGGGACCGATGGAAGCGAGAACCCAGTCGCTCCCCGGTCCTCATTCTCCGCAAGAAAAGCTCGACTTCCAGACCTCGACGGAGCACCAGCAAGACGCCTCCACGTCTTACAGAACTTGGTATGGAGAAACTTCTAAATCCGGTCAGGAATAATGAATGTACTCTTTGAGAGAGGTATCTTACGCTCACCAATTCAAATATATGATCAAAACCGTCAGTAAAGACGATGCTACAAAACGTCGATTTCAAATAAATGCTGTTTTTTTAAACATAAAAGAATCCTGAAAAAATTTGATTATGGTTTCCACAAAAATCGTAAGCAGTTAAACCGTTTCCATTCATATTAATTGAACATTATTAAAGGACAACTCCGGCGCAAAATGAACATTTGGTCTAATTACACATTGTTACCAAGTCAACCGTTATCTGAGATTTGTTTTCATGATTGCCGAATGTAAATAGTTTTATCTCTAAAAACAGTTTAGCCTATAACGCTAGTATATAGGGCATAGAGTAATGACAAATAAAAATCGCTTGTTATTACCACTAACAAGGCTTAAAATAGCCCCACAGTAACACAGTAGCATAATAAGGGTCTCTACATTCAAACCGAAGCATTGAGAATGAGAACTTTGTCAGTGTCCATACAGTTTAATAAGAAGATATTTTATACACACAGTCAACTTCGCGAATACAGGAAGAAGCCATCTTTGAAAAATAGTCTCTACCAGTCGATCTACAAACGCCGATCCAAGTGTTATACTAGCGTTATAGGCTAAACTGTTTTTAGAGATAAAACTATTTACATTCGGCAATCATGAAAACAAATCTCAGATAACGGTTGACTAGGTAACAATGTGTATTGTAATTAGACCAAATGTTCATTTTGCGCCGGAGTTCTCCTTTAATAATCAATTATCATATTGATCTCTAAAGGATCGTGCAATGATGCTAAAAATTCAGCTTTGATCACGGGAATAAATTACAGTATACTATATATTGAAAACGGTGTTTCAAATTGTAATAATATTTCACAATTTTTCACTGTATTTTCATTAAATAAACGCATCCTTTAAGCACAAAAATATAAAAATATTTTAATTATTCCTAACTTGGCCAGTATTGTAAATTGCATTTGTCGGTAACACTATTTTACAGTGTCCTTGTTACAAGTTACAGTAAATTATGCATAATTACACATGCACTCTAGGGGTGGTTAATTTGTCTGACTTCCCGATTTGATTACGATTATTGAAGTCCCGATTCGATTACAGTCGATTTTCGATTATTATCGATTCTCGATTAGTGATTTTCCATTTCACAAACAGTAAACGAAAATACACTAGACCAACATATTAGCAGCAGCAGCAACATTTTGGTATTAATTGCACTTTTTATTTGTTTGATATTCAATGAAAATGTAATGATGTTTAGTACAAACTAAAAAATTGAACCCGAGGCGGTTTTTTAAAAAATAAAAAATAAAAAATGACGCTTTTACGCGTCAGTGTGAACACTCACATTGGCGCCCTTTGTTTAGTCAGGAGGCATTAAACGTCGGCGAATAATGCGCATGAAATTTGTCCCGGTGTGAACAGGCCTTAACCCATTTGTCTTCTCTTACTGTTGTTTTTTCCTATTCCCAGATAAGGAGCAGTTGCTGGAAATAGCTAAGGCTAACGCTGCCGCTATGTGTGCCAAGGCCGGCGTGCCGATCCCAGACAGTCTCAGGCCCAGAGCTATTCTCCAACTCCCCTCGTCATCCTCAAACTCAGTGCCAGTAATGTCAAACATGACGATGAATGCCGCTATGGCTAGCATGACTGCCGCCACCATGACCGCTGCTTTGTCTAGCATGGGTGCCTTGGCTTCGTTCACACAAATGGCCCCGTTACCCACAATCGTCAACAAGCCGCCGTCTTCAGCCACACCTAATCTTGCCAGTATTGAAGAAGCCAAAAAGAAAGTGACGAAGCAGGCGAACACGTTCAGCATTAAAGAGCTCACAGAGGTACGGGTTGTTGTGCATGTGCTTGCAGTTTGCTGTTTCTTGGTCTGCGCTGACTCAACGGTTTATTTAATCCTTCAGAGATGCAAGAAGATCGCGGAGAGTAAGGAAGAGATGGCCATCGCAAAACCACACGTGTCAGACGATGAAGAGGATGAGAAGTTTGGAGCTTCGCTGAAGGAGAATAAGGGCATTGCGTTCAGTCTTGGTGTACGTCTTTCACGTTTTTAGCTGGACAATAACTTTATTCTAGAGCTGCTGTAAAGCTAAAACGATCTCTGTTACGTTATTAGGGGTTCAAGCACAAAGTGATGAAATTTTAAGGATTTGTAAGGGCGTTTTTCCACCTGAAAGTCCGAACCAAAGTTCATGTTTTGATACATTTTATACTTTCAGAAATTTTGGTTTGGTTTCACACTGCAATAATGCGAGCGCACTAAAGAACTTTACGCGACATACTTGCGTCCTGTCGTCGTCGGCTATGTGGGCTGCATCTTGACATTGATTGGTTTAGTTAACGGACGTGCGTCTGACGTCTGCACGTTGTCATTTTGGCGGGTAACTTTGCCAACATGAACGAACAGACGCATATCGTGCAACTATATTGTTATTTTTATGGCATAATTTATCGGCAGGCCGATATTGAGCATTTTCCAAACTATCGGTATCGGCAGTTATAATGGCCGATAAATTAATATTTCAAAAATAAAATAAAAACGAACGAAACGCGCTTCAACCATTTCATGAGTGTTGCAGTTGTATAGTTTGTCCACCAGAGGGCACTCTACACCGTCCTTGTTGGCAACACTCGTGTATAACACATCCTGCAATCTGCTGATCCAGGTGAATTGGTCACGAGACATACATTGCTTGAAATCTGTTAATTTTTTGTTGCGTGTTTCTGAACAAAAAAAAAATTTATATATCGGATTTTAAAACCAACAAATATTAGTATCGGTATCGGCCTTCAAAATCCTTTATCGGTCGGGCTCTAAACCTGCAGCACCAACTATTCACAAGGCTAGTTCAAATTCACCAAATGCTCATCATGCATTTCACAAGATGTAAACAACACTGGTCCAGAAGCACTTCCTGTTTCAGTTTTTTAACACTATATAAAAGCTGGGATAAAATACAACCAACAGAACATTTAAAACTGAATCAAAAAGTTAAACAAACATCTTTAAGATGTTTTCTTTACATGTGAAATAAAGAAAACAGTTACAAACTGAAACAGGAAGTGTTTCTGGACCAGTGTTGTTTACATCCTGTGAAATGGTCTATAATACTTTACATTTATAATAAACATAGATTTTTTTTTTTATTTTTTTTTTTATCAAGACCAGATTTATCGTTTTAGGCAGGATTTGACTCTCACGTTCTTGATCTCTACTTCACGGTAACTGTGTTCTCTGCTCTTTCAGATCACCTCAGTAAAGCCAGGCGTCCGCGCCGAAGCGGCCTTTGCTAAGGAGTTCCCGGTGTCCTCCGGCTCCCAGCATAGGAAGAAAGAGGCTGATGGTGCGTATGGGGAGTGGGTGCCAGTCGAAAAGAAAACCGAAAAGCCTCCTGCGTCTGTCTCTGCGTCTGCGTCTGCTTCTGTGTCGGCTTCTTCAGAGACCAAGGAAACCAGCAAGGAGAATGATAGTGTCTTTCCTGAAGCACCTTCTCAAGTCAGTGTTTAACTTCTGATTGATCTCAAATAAGCCTCATCATGTTCAGCTTGTCTCTATAAGCTCTTGTCTTTTGGTTTCCAGCCCGTGGACATCACGTTGGCCGTCAGTGAGCGAGCGGTCGCACAGAAGAGGCTGGCGGAGAACCCCTTCGACATCAATGCCATGTGTATGCTCAATCGGGCTCAGGAGCAAGTACGTTTCGAGAGCCTACATGGTCCATAAATTATGTTTTGGCTAATTTGATCTTACTTTCAGCTGCTAGTGTAAGTGTGGCAGTGCTGTTACTGTTAACTAAAACTAAACAAAATTACAAAAACTAAAATAATAGATAAAAATTAGGAATGCAAAAAGTGCGCACGGGGAGTACGTTTTGATCCTGATTTGTATACTTTATTGGATTTATAATATTTTTGACTTGTGGTTTTTGATACATATATTCCGATTTATTTATGAGAATGTATTTGTGATTAAAACATTTTTAAAATATGTTTTGCTTGGTTTAGTCATGTTTTTGATGAGATATATTTTCTTTGCAATATTTGAACTTTCTCTCTTCTGTTTGTCCTGTGTGCCGTGTGACTAATTGATTGCCGTTTAAAAGAACTCTGATTGGCTGTGTCCCAATTCGCCTACTTATACTACCCCCTAAAAGTATGTACTATTTTTGTGAAGAAAAAGTACATACTTTTGAGTGTGTAGCAAAAGAGTAGGCAAGCTTTGGGACATACTACTTGGTCACCGTAAACTGACCTGTCAATCATCTCATCACAGTTAAAATCCTCCATTCAATCTAATATAATTTCCCATTTCGGAGAGAAATGTAGTCGCACGTTCATCTGCCAGTGGAGGGTCTTCCATGCGGAGACTCTCATGTGTTTGCAATTAAAAAAATAAAATAAAAATAAAAAAATGTCAAAAGCTAAAAAAAAAAAAAAAAAACTAAAATTAAATACTAGATCAATTTACTCAAGTGCCTTGGGATTTTTTTTTTTATCGAATTAAAAAAAATAAACTTAATAAAAATGTCAAAAGCTCAAAAAAAAAAAATTTGAAATGTAATCAGAACATATAATATTACAGTAGTGGGCAAAAGTGATGTTTGTTTTTAAAGACCCTACAACTTTGATTAAACAATAAATATATATGTATATGTTAAATTAAATATGAAGTTAAACCAAAACACTAATCTTGGTTATGGTATTTATCTGATAAAATTATTTGGCAAAAGAGGGAAGCTACAGGTTTTATTTTACTGTGCAAAAAAAATGCATAGAAAATCAAAAAGCATACGCTGACTACTGCATAAGTTAGTAATTAATTATTCATATTTGGGTTTTGCTTGTGTTCATAATTTCTTTGTGTGACAGGATGGACAAAATGGATGTTGCACACAATTTGGGATGTTTCATTATGGTATTATCACAAATAAAACTATTGACTCAAAGCACAACTACGCAATATGCTTACTGTACTTAAAACCCCATTTATCGATTGTTTAAATTAAACTGAATTAAAATATAAATATTAGATGAACTTGGAAATTGGAAATGTGCCTTTGCAACTAAGCTGAAGTTGAAGTACCAAATGTACTGAAACTGAATAAAAATAACTTGAAGCTATTGAAGCCCAACAAAATGACGAAAATGAAAAAAATATATATTATAAAAAAAATAAAATGTAAAATATTAATAAATACAATAATGGTATATAAATAATTCTTAAGTTACATATAAAACATTTTAACGTCATTTTGTTTAGTTTCCTGGTGTGAAAATCTCAATTTGAAACAAAAATTGTGATTCTCAGTTTATCCAGAACCATGCAGCTCTCATACATATGGTATTAGCCGATTAGATGATTTTATTGCTGACGTCTGGTAATGACCTTTCACAGGTTGATGCATGGGCCCAGTCCAACACGATCCCCGGCTTCTTCACGGGTTCGACAGGCGCTCAAGTGCTCTCGTCTGACGAGCTCTCCAACAGCGGCCCGCAAGCCTGGATTAAGAAGGTAAAGCCCTGAGTCGACGCCACCACTCTTACAATGATTCTGGACATGTATTGTGCTTGTTTGTGTTTTGCATCATATATGTGTGTTAAATTCCCAAGAATCATAAAGTTGATGACATGAAAGATGGATGACAGATGCTTAATTTATATTTACACTGTTCTGACACACGCTCACATTGCACATGAAGGGTAAAATAGATCCTGAAATGCTCTCAAAGTACCCATCATCCCCTTTTATAAAGCATATAAGAATGGTCATCTGTGATTACTTTGCCAATTGGTGTACCCAACTGAGTTGTTAATCCGGTCACTCGCACAATGATAGTTCACACCGGACGCTTTTTAATTAATAAGTATTGATCTTTGAGCTTAGCATGACGTCAGTGTATCCTGGGAAACGATCTGGCCAAAAGACAGCTCAGAACTGTGTGTGTGTTTACTGACGTCAGCTGAAATAGTGAGAAAGAGCGTCTTTTCTTCTCGAGCGGACCTATTATGCGCTTTTTCAATGTCTTGATTTAATTTTTTCAAACTTGAATGTAAAAAAAATATTTATATATATTGTTTACAGGGTTTTTGTGGGGCATTAAAAGTCAATAAATGGATTTAGTGAAAATTAAGGCCTTAACATTAAAAAGAACATTAAATTAATCCTACAGGCATTAAAAATGTAGATATAGTTTTTAAAATTTAATACTATCAATTTATTTGAATTTAGTCTTCATAATTTATCATTTTTTTTATTTGCTGTCAATTACTGGTTTGGTAATTGCTTCCATATATTTTTCAATTTTTATCCAGACATCAATATTTGTATTAGTTATCAGTGAGACTGACCTTCATTCTTAAAAATAAATGCCATTAGACAATGTATTTGAAATATACTGTATGTTGTTTCTACATTAATTAGATTAACTGTGAATTTATTACATTATAAAAAAATACCTACATGATAATACAAAAATGTAAGTCTTTTTAATCACGATTAATCACAGACAATTTTTTGATTAACCCTAAAACTGTATTCTGGTATATAGTTTTGATTTATTTTAAAAAATACTTCCCTTGATCTGAGCAGTACAAGACTTGCCTACTTTTCCTAAGTTTGTCTCCTGAACACACACTTTTTTTTGACTCAATTCTACAATGTTAAGTGGGTGAAAAAAAAACCTCCTTAATCTTGTATTTGGGTCAAAAATGGGCACCCATTGAAATGAATGGGAAAAACTGTAATTTAGAGCATTCTAAAATAAGACAAAATTAGACACCGGGTGACAGCAAAGTCACTTTATCTTTAGGTTTTAGCTCTAAGAACTTATTGGAATGATATTTTAATGTAGTTAAAAAATAAAAGCATAATTTACATAGTAAATATGGTGCTTTTTGAAGTAAATAAATTCAAAAATACCCCCAAAATACAAAAACCATAAATGGATAAACAAAACTTTTAACATTTATAATAAATAAAAATTAGGATCACACCTGAGTCCTCTGTGCCCACATTTGTCCACAATTACAGGATTAAGGGCTATAAAGTGAATACGGTTTGAGGGCTACTTGAGTTGAATTTTTTTTTAATCAAATGATTGCACAAATATATAATATCTGTGGTTAGTTATGGATCATGAATGGCATTACATTTTTAAAAAATGGCATTAAAAAGATTTACATTTAATTTAAAAATACCTGCAGAAACCCTGGTTTAGCCCCTCCTCCTGAAAAGCACACTGTGCTCTGATTGGTCGGCTGGATCAGTGTGTTGTGATTGGACGAGCGCTTCGAGTGTGTTTGGGAAATGTCCCGCCCCTTTCCATAACCGCCAGTTTAACACACTACTAACTAACTCAACCAGGCCCCGCCCCTTTATTATGCGCATTAATTATTATAATGAGGAATATTTTGACGTGTTCGTTCCCGGGAGAAACTCGAGACTACAATGGAGGCGTTTCAGGAGTTCAGAAACACTGATATAGAGAAGAACTGGAGCTTTTTCATACTTTGATAAAAGGATAAACAGTCCCACTTTAAAGCTACACTGTGTAACTATTTTAGTTTATTCTTAGCTAAAAACACTTAATATGTGTGCTCATTAATGTATATTTACTTCGTTCAAGTAATCAAGTATTCTCGTGAGTGTAAAAATACATACGGGTAAGGGGTTCTAATGTCGGTCGCCATGTTGCCCCTCCATCTTGAAAGTACATAAGCCAAAGAGGGACATACCCGTTTATGAAAGCTTCGCCTTTCGCGTTTACGTTTCGGTTAACACTCATGGACGAGGTCGAACTGGAAGCCATGTTAATCTTGGACTACATTGGCCACCGTAGGAGTTAAAATGAAATCGGAATTGAGATATTCACTGGATGGTCATATATCTTTACACCACTAGATGGGGGTAAAAATCACACAGTGCAGCTTAAAGACTCGATCACAGTCGTTTGAAGGAAACAAAACGTCGCCAGCGCAGATGGGTACACCACTTGTGCAGGTCATGCAGATGTTTTATATGTGAAATTTTGTCGTACCAGATGCATTGATGGATCGGCCTCACTTTACTCCCCTGAAAAGTGTCTTTTGAGAGCGAGGGGAGGAAAGGAAGATGATGTGAAGTAAGTCTCTCTCCGCCCCTCCTCTGAAAGACCTGGAAATGAATACAGAAATATGCATCAGATCCGACTCTCAAATCTGATTTAGCAGAAAATAGCCAATGTATGCACACGATTCGGTATAACACAACCTACAGTTAGATTAGTCAACATTTAAAGAGGATTAAACTTTCATCATATTTATACATTATCCACTTTAAATGTTGACTACTGAATATACTGTTCAGAAATGTGGCGTTGGTAAGATCGTTCTCATATTCTCCAAGGCTGCATTAATTTGCTCAAAAAAACAGTAAAATAGTGTAATATTCTTGCAGTTTAAAAAGCTGTTTTAATTTGATCAAAAATACGGTAAAATAGTGTAATATTTTTGCAGTTTAAAAATCTGTTTTAATTTTATCAAAAATACAGTAAAATAGTGTAATATTCTTGCAGTTATCAAAAATACAGTAAAATAGTGTAATATTCTTGCAGTTTAAAAAGCTGTTTTAATTTGATCAAAAATACAGTAAAATAGTGTAATATTCTTGCAGTTTAAAAAGCTGTTTTAATTTGATCAAAAATACAGTAAAATAGTGTAATATTCTTGCAGTTTAAAAAGCTGTTTTAATTTGATCAAAAATACGGTAAAATAGTGTATTTTTGCAGTTTAAAAAGCTGTTTTAATTTGATCAAAAATACAGTAAAATAGTGTAATATTCTTGCAGTTTAAAAAGCTGTTTTAATTTGATCAAAAATACGGTAAAATAGTGTAATATTCTTGCAGTTTAAAAATCTGTTTTAATTTGATCAAAATACGGTAAAATAGTGTAATATTTTTGCAGTTTAAAAAGCTGTTTTAATTTGATCGAAAATACAGTAAAATAGTGTAATATTTTTGCAGTTTAAAAAGCTGTTTTAATTTGATCGAAAATACAGTAAAATAGTGTAATATTTTTGCAGTTTAAAAAGCTGTTTTAATTTGATCGAAAATACAGTAAAATAGTGTAATATTTTTGCAGTTTAAAAAGCTGTTTTCTATGTGATTGTTGTAAAATGTAATTTATATCCTGAGATCAAAGCTGAGTTTTCAGCATTATTACCCGTCTTCAGTGTCACATGATCCTATTTTAAAATGCTGTTCAATCAATGTATTATTGTATAAATATTTTTGTGGAAAAAAGTACAGCATTAATTTGAAATGTAACTTTTGCACAGTTTAATGCATCCTCGCTGAATAAAAGTTTGAACATCAAATTTTGAACATTAGTGTAAATCTTAATTGAATATTGGTGTCTTTTATCATATTGATATTCCTGTCACTTTATTAAAGCAATAAATCTTTTGAAGTCGTATGTTACAGTTACTCTGAGAGGTTTTAGGCACTCCTAAAAACCCATTGGTCTTATTAGTATTAGTAGTATTATTATTAATACAAGCAAAGCCTTTCAACCAAAACTGAGTACATGTGTTTGCAATGAGTCGCTGAGAAGGCTTTGGATGCTGACTGATGTGTAATACACACCTTTACATTAAAGACATGAGAATCCAAAGTGTTCATTTAGACTAAGCTAATTAAATAAATGCTTAATTAGTCTCTGTACAGAGATGATAGGATTCACACAAACAAATACAGCTCATTTATTCAGGGCAGTGTTACCAAAATGGCCAACTTTGCCTAGATACGACAGTCTCGATGTACAGTCAAACCCAAAATTATTCAGATATCATTTTTGATATGTTTTACTAGCGTGTGCAAGACACTATTGTTCATTTCTTAAAGCGAGGAGAGCAAAATAAAGTAAACTGACACCCAATAACTCTTCATACAGCGACTACCAGTAATGATTCGGACACTTTGAGCTGATCATGTGTGTTTTCTGCTCTTACACACACACCGAACAACGTGAAGCATTGCTTGGTCACTAGATATTCAACATAATTGACGTGTGAGACTTGTTTTTGTCATATTTTATGAGCTATCGCGTGTGATATTGTGAGAATACGTTTCGGTTTGACTGTATAAACCCTGATATGTGATATGTTTGGAGCTCACTCTTTACCCAAGAGCGTGATTCAAATGATGTCAAAGGTCGAAGGAGGAGCTGATTTTTTAGGAAGGGTCAATCTGAACAATGTTTGGGGTTCGGCTTTGATTTGCCAGCGGGTTCGAGGCTCTCGAGCTGATTGGTTGGGTTGGGACACGAGGGGTGGGGGCTCACAGTTTGACCTGTGAACTCTCACCCCTCTGTATGGACACTTGTTGCAGGGTCAGTCCTTGTAGCTGCCTCTTTGCCATGGTCAGAGTCAGGCCCGTTGTGTTCACGTCAGATGCTCGGCCGATGATGGGGGCCTAGGTACGTACGTCCTCCAGCACCCTTCCTTCTATTCATGTGGATGTGTGTGTGAACTGCTGCCATGTGCTCCTGTTCGAACCGACTCAAAGCCTGAGCTGTGTTCAGGACAGGTACTGAAGCTCCGCCTGTCGAAGGCTTGCTCATTAGATTAGTTATGTGTTACACTACTGGTCAAAAGGTTTGGAGTTATTAAGATTTTTTTTAATGTATGCGCACCACGGATGCATTTACTTGGTCAAACAAAACGAATATGGTGGAAAAATTATAATTAGCTGTTTTATATATATATATATATATATCAGCATCATTACTTCAGTGTCACATGATCCCTAATATGATGATTTGATGCTCAAGAAACGGAAACGGAACCTCAGATTCAAAATAACACCTTTCATTTGAATTCGAATACTTTGTAACATTTTGGAAGGTGATGTATCACGTTTTCTGCTAAAATGTTTCAACATTTATCGTATTAGAGTGATTTCTGAAGGATCACGTGACACTGAAGACGCTGGATATTACATTTTTTTTGAATAATTTTTCACAATTTTACAGTTTTTTGATCAAATAAATGCTCCCCTGGTGATGTTCATATGTATATTTATACTTGTTTAGTGAGAAATAAAGGATTTAAACAATTGACCAATTCTAATAATAGAAATTGACATTTGCTGATTTGATTTGAAAGCTCACAGCTCGAGCGGATCTCTCTCTCACTGCTGGCCGTTTCTCTCCGTTTGCCTCTCTTTCTCTCTGTCTGAATCTGTCCCGTTGCATTCAGGACCAGTTCCTGCGGGCGGCGCCGGTCTCGGGCGGGATGGGCGAGTTGCTGATGAGGAAGATGGGATGGCGTTCGGGGGAGGGTTTGGGCAAGCACAGGGAAGGCACGGTGGAGCCCATCGTTATCGACTTCAAAACGGACCGCAAGGGTGAGACAGACGACCCCGCGGAGAAACGGATCGGGTGATGATGTCACACTCATGACGTCATGTGCTTCTGTTCACTCAGGGCTTGTGGCAGAAGGAGAGAAAACACAGAAGTCTGGCAACATTGTGGTGATGAAGGATCTTCTAGGTGAGTGACGCGTGACATGGTTTACGTTTCTAGGTGAAACGGGTGAAGCTCGAAAAATGTGAATATCGTGCAAAAGTTTATTTATTTCAGTGATTCAACTTAAAGGTGAAACTAATATATAGACTCATTACACGCAAAGTGAGATATTTCAAGCATTTATTTGTTATAATTGTCATGATTATGGCTCACGTCACAGTTATGAAAACTTTTTTACAATATTCTAATTTTGAATTTGGGGTTTTCATATCTGTAATCCATAATCATCACAATTAAAACAAATAAAGGCTTGAAATATCTCACTTTGCATGTAATGAGTCTATATAATATACTAGTTTCACCATTTTAGTTGAAGGTTTGCACAAAATTCTAATTTTTCAAAGTTTCATGGTTCTTTAAATCTGCACTGATTTATATCAAGTAAACACAAGAATAACTTTGATATTGATTGTAATGCTTCAAGATGAATGCTGAACTTGATCATCCATACAAAACATGCGTAACATATATGATCATAAGGCTTTTGTGATGGGTTTATTTGTTCATCTCATTATATGTTTTAAACTACAAATCTTTAATCATCAAATAAGCATTAATATCATCTTACTGAGACATTGGCTTTTTTATTAGAGCCCGACCAATAAAGGATTTTGAGGGCCGATACCGATACAAATGTTTTTGGGTTTTAAAATCTGATATATCGGCCGATATTTTATTTTATTTTATTTATTTATTTATTTATTTTAAACTGGACATGATAGTCACAAATTTTGTCATGCTTATTTGAGTTAAAAGAACCGATGGGGATGTTCTTTAATTGTTATTCAAGCAACGTATGTATCGTGACCAACTCAACGAGTGTTGGTGTAGAGTGCCCTCTGGTGGACAAACTGTACAACTCCAACACTCATGACATGGTTCAAGCGTGTTTCGTCCGTTTTTATTTTATTTTTAAAATATTAATTTATCGGCCATTATAACTGCCGATACCGATAGTTTGGAAAATACCTAATATCGGCCGATAATATCGGTCTGGCTCTAATTTTTATGTTAGTATCTTCTATTCTGTTATTTAGATCTCATTGATTCACATTAGAAGCATCATCTCACTTTTTGTCCATATAAATATCTGCATCTGCACCAAATGGCATATTTTGCTTCTGAATAAAACAATGTTTTTTACCTCAATATTTTCACTGTATCATATTGTCTTCATTTATACGGTGCTTTTAACAATATAGACTGTTTCAAAGCAGTGATAACAGGAGATTACAGTAACAGCAGCTCTAGAATTAAGTTATTGTCCAGATAAAGTTAGTTTTGAACGTTACGATCATTAGTTATTATGAGCCTTGAAAGCTTGATGTATCAAATTCAACATACATTTTCTGACTAGTATTTTAAATGATTGGCTGATGAGATGTGTCCTGGTTCATCAGGCAAGCACCCGGTGTCTGCTCTGATGGAGATGTGCAATAAGAAGAAGTGGCCCCAGCCGGAGTTTGTGATGGTGCACCACAGCGGACCCGACCACCGCAAGAACTTCCTCTTCAAGGTCCGTGCTCCATTTCATTACGTCAACTTTCTCAAACATGATGTTAGTTACATTAAAATATATATATATATATATAAAACCAGTATTTTCCAATGGATTGTGATTTTAGACATCACAATATTATAAATAAAACTAGAGTTGTGTCCCAAACTGGGAGGGAAATTGCCCAAATTTTACCAGTCACTTTTTCCGGAATTCAAATTTATAAAATAAAGTGCACTAGCATATTTTGAATTTATTATTAATACATATTATATTAGACAATCAGTTAGATTGAAACTAAAGCCGTGCAGGTAAACACTGAATGGCGACTGCAGAAAGCAAAAGGCCGAACATGTCCGGGAAAAAGAGGATGGTAACCCCTACTACTTAGCTTTCTCCACAGAACAAGAGCCTGCTAGCTTAGGCCCTGTTTACACGAGAACGCTCGCGGGTGAAAACGTAAAAATATGTTGTCGGATGTGCCTTTCGTTTACACGGCGACGGCGTTTTTGAGGCTCAAAAACGCAAAAAAAGTGGAAATCCAGTGTGGAAATCTTAAAAACGCTCCACCACCGCCTTCCCGTGTAAACGGTTAAAACGCAAAAGTTTGCTTGACAGTTAAGGTTGTACGCAAACGCGTGGACTTGGTGTTGTTGTAGTATGCACTCCTAGCCACCTGAAGTGCACACTACATTGAATTTCACACACTTTTGCGTCTCCATTTGCACGCGGATTTCCCACACAAAACGCTCGTCTAAATGCAGAATAAAAAAAGATGACGCAACGTCACTTTAGCGTTTTCTCTTCAGAATCATTTCCGTGTAACCATAGCCTTAGCTTCCAAACAAAGATGGCCGACACTATGTGTCCATTCTGTGAGTGAGATCACCCTCTATGGGCGGGTAAAAAACCCATAGTTTGGTGTAGAGACAAACCGATATATCGGCCGGCCGATATTAGGCATTTTCCATAATATCGGTATCGGCAGTTATAATGGCCGATATATGAATATTTAAAAAATAAAATAAAAACGGAGGAAAGATGCTTCAATCATCTCTCCTTGGCCTGTTATATTGAAAATGTATGTTTTACAATTTGCAGTATATGTTATCTATGGCTCATCATAGACTAGCTAACCACAAAGCAAGCTAATGCCACTATCTCCAACGTTAACATTAATGAGCTTGGAAACCACAATGAACTTTTTCTGCCTAAATAAAGTAATGATTACTGTATTTATCTCTAGTTAAAGTCTCTGCATTGTAAAATGTAAGTTATACTTGCGAGGAGTGAACATTTAGACATAGAGAAAAAGTATCAAACGTATCTTGTGCAGAAAAGTTAGCTTTTCTTTTACACGTGTGTGAAATCCAACAATATTTAATCAAAAAAAATATCGGCCGATATATCGGAATATCGGATTTTAAAACCCCAAAATATTTGTATCGGTATCGGCCTTCAAAATCCTTTATCGGTCGGGCTCTATGATGAACTCATTAGACATGCAGTGTTTGTGTGCCGTCAGGTGGTGGTGAACGGGAGCGATTATCAGCCTCAGACTGCCAGTCCCAACAAGAAACACGCCAAGGCGATGGCGGCCACAGTGGCTCTTCAGGCGATGGGAGAAGTGGCAGGAGACGGGGTTCACACCGGACCCGTGTTCACAGCCGCCACTAACATGTGACGCCACTTCACTTCACACGCAATATCATCCCGTACGCCATTATCTGTTATGAATTTTTGTAATTTTGTATTTTTCTTCAACCACATCCCCCTGTGACGGCCTTTGCACGCCACTGAGATGAGAAGCATGTTCACGGGTAATAATGAGTACATAGCTCACCCAGTGTTGCGTTTGACTGAATGCCATTGTTTTATTTAGACCGTTATTGTTTCTGTTAAGTCTGCTCTAATGCATGCTTAAAAACGATTTTATCTTCATAAACAAGTTTTTTTTTGTCTTTGCATTAAACTTTTTACCAGCCCGAGTCCATTGCATCTTCTTCTCGTGGAAGGCTTGTGTTCTGTTGCTGGCGTACAACATGTTTTTGTGATGCAACGGAATAAACCGAGAATCATGTCACTGGAAAATAATGCTCTTTATTGTGTCCGGACAGTGTCACGTTCACTGTTGCTGTATTTGTTCGAGATTATCAATGTTGACATTTGTGTTAGAAGAAGGTTGAGAACCTACGGGTGAAACTCGAAACATAAGAATATGGTGCGAAAGTTCATTTATTTCGGTAATTCAACTTAAAAGGTAAAAATAATGTATTATATTGGATCATTACATGCAAAGTGAGATATTTCAAGCATTTATTTGTTATAATTATGATGATTATGGATTACAGCTTTTTACAATATTCTAATTTTAAATATGGGGTTTTCATATCTGTAAGCCATAATCATCATAATTATAACAAATACAGGCTTGAAATATCTCACTTTGCTTGTAATGAGTCTATATAATATATTAGTTTCACCTTTTAAGTTGAATTACTGAAATAAATGAACTTTTGCACGATATTCTAATTTTTCGAGTTTCACCCGTACATGCAAAATGCATAAGCATTACAAACACATCAACATGCAAACGGCAATCAAACCAAAACTGAATAAATTTACATTTATACACTATCATGCACTGCGGATCTCATCTGAACCGGTTTATAAGGTATCGTCAGAATGCTCTCAACAAATGTACCGTTCGATTTATTTTGTGATTAAAAAGGAGAAACGTGAGATCTGCAAAACTTTGATGGATCTGAATGTGGCCAATATTACAAAAACATCACATTAGTAGATCTATAGTCTTTGGCAATACTTACATTATCCATATATTTAGTCATATTTTGCTTTAAAAGATGGTAAAAATGACATCAGAATTCAGAAAACTAGAAATACTTCAGAACGTACAAAATTTGTTTGTTTGTTTGTTGTTGTGCTGTTTTCCTTTACGAGCATTTAATAAATAAATAAAAAATTCAGAACGTACAAAACAAATTAGCGCCATTTTAAAGGGGTGGTTTACTGCTTTTTTTTTCTTTGTATGGTTGTGTTTATGGGGTGCAATATAACATGTATTCGTGTTTTTTTTTTTTTTAAGTCTTATTTTTCATGTCAGTCAGCCGCGTTCTCCTCTGTTGACTTCCTGATTCTATGAAACCATTCCCTCAGAAACAGCCAGTGGGCTCCGATTGGTTAGTTTGGGCCGGTGTGTTGTGATTGGCTAAACTGTAGTACACGTTGTCAGACAGCCTAAGTCCCTCCCCTTCCGGTCGACCACCATGGGACCTTATTTCGAAAAAATATTGTATGGTAGTCAATGGCGAGAGACAACAAATATTTTGATCTTGTTTGAATTGTGCCTTGAATTACACATATGATGTGTGTCAATTTAAAAGATACATTTTAAAGTAAAGAAAGTCGCAGTTTGATGTAAAACCGTTGAGGTATAAGACTGTAAAAATACGTAATTGCAAAGACTACAAACCCCATAGGCGCACATTTTCTCTCAATGAATGAAGCTAACTTTACTGAGGCTAATGTCTGTCATTGTTTCTATAGTCTTACGTTATAATCGTAACGTTACGCCGTCATACCTGAGTGTTTTGTACCAGACTGCACACACACGAGCAGCGGATCTCACTCGTTGTTTCGCTTCCCGGGAGATGTAGTTCATAGAGCGATTTTCACATAAAACTAAATGTTACTCTTCTGTTTTATGACAAACTGCGACGTTTTTGACTTTCAGGATTATCTTTTAAATTGACAAACATCAAATGTGTGATGAGGGCACAGTTCAGACGGAATAAAAAGATAAGTTGTCTCTCGCCATTGACTACCATTCACATTTTTTCCGAAATAAGGTCCCATGAGCCGGAAGCGGAGGGGCGCGTGGGTCAACGAAGCCGAGCGGTGAGTAATGCTGTGTCCGAAATCACCCATTACTCACTATATAGTGGACTATATAGTGAGCTCGCCATTTTGTAGTGCTGTACCAATGTATCCCAGAATGCATTTTGAAAAGTAGTGTACAACCGATGGTCACTAACCTAAGCCCTACATACCATCATGCATTGCGCTAATCGTAAAAATAAGTCTACTCATGTGTGGAGTAGCGCATTATAACAGAAACGGCTGGAAATCACTTTTAGTTTTTAAATTTTGGAGAAATAAGCTCAATATAATGTAATGTATTTATTTTTAAAAATCTTTTTGGCCCAGAGCCGGCTCGGCACCAGCTGACAGATGATGTAATCAACGGCGCCGAGAGACGATCGAGTAGTGTCCGAAATTGGTGTTTCTATTATGCTGGTGAGCTGACTATATAGTGCTTTCTACCCCCAACATAGGGGTTAGGGAGTTGCTTTGAGTGGAGATTTCGGACACAGCATAAGTTTGGGTCAAGTTCAAATGACAAACACCTGTCTGTTATTTCAGTGATTGGCGTGCGGACAACAGACTGGCAGCTCGTGCACGTATCCTATGGAGTCCTATTACCGAACGCGTGACATTTGAAAGCTGTATTCAGCGGGAAGAGTATTACCACAACTGTGACCATTTTAAGCTGTGTCAGTCAGTGGGAAGAGTATTATCGCCTATTATTTATTTTTGCCTTTGACATTCTGAGTTAACTTTATTTGAGCGCGACCTCGCTTGTGTAAATAAAAGTGTACGAGTCCCAGTATTCGCCGACCCTGTGTCTCCTTTCATCACCCACACATAACAAACCTGTTCTTACATCACAAAAATAACCTCATAAAGTATATATATACATGAATAAAAAGACATTTATAAAATGAGTACATATACAAATTCAGGTTCAAAATGTTTGCACGCGTTTGTAGTAGACACGAAATAGCATAACTGAGTGGATATAAAGCCAACGCTGCCATTTGACAAAACTAAAACATTACGTCTGAAATTACACATGCAAATACATTTAAAATGATTAAGTCTTAGCCTACTTACAGGTTGTGGCCCAACAACTGCTGCCTCTGGCTTTAAAGTTGGAACTGCTTCATGTTTTAGTAACAGTGTCTTGTTGAATCAGGTGTTCTGACAATTCATGCGACCCATCGAGATTTGCTACTTACCGGTTATGCGCATGTGCAGACTCACGTTTTTTTTTTTTTTTTTTACAAAAGGTATATTTTCCTTTTATAATGTATAATTTCCCTTTAAAAAATGCTTACTATCATACGAATATTTGTACGGTCAGTCAGCTGAAAAGGAATAACTGAAAGTTTCCGTTACTATGAGGAAAGGTGTACTTTGACAAGTCAAAGATGAATATTTTATGATAATTTTTACTTTTCACACCGTTTTAAAAATAAAAACAGTAGTCTACAGTATACAGTAGCTACTCATAACTTAGATTTTATTATAATTGTATTTCAAACGACTTTAATCGGCATTCTGTGATCAATTCGCGCTACGGTAGCATTTTTTGACAACGCAGCATATGCGCATGCTCTTTTTTGCATTTTCCGGAGGGAGGGGTTGATGCAAATGTGTGGGTTAGTGACAAAAACCCAGCTGTAGTCCCAATCTTCGAGTCGTTTTTGTAGGCAATATACTTCCTGATTTTTAAAATATGATATCTCTGCTTACATTGAACTTTGCAGATACTATTCATGCACCAACAACAACATTACACACTATTTAAAATGAAAAAAGTGAAATCGCAATCACCCCCTTAAGATAAATAAATAAATAGCACCATATTTAACAGATTCATTCGGAGGCGTATTGCATTCACATGAAGAAAAAAAATCTACTCTGTTTTTCTGAATTAATGAGTTAATTTTTCATGAGAAAAAAAATGCTCTGTTTTTCTGAATTAATGAGTTAATTTTTCATGAGAAAATTTTTTTTTCTCTGTTTTTCTGAATTAATGAGTTAATTTTTCGTGAGAAAAAAAGTTTTTGCTCTGTAAAAAAACAGCAAAAAAAGAAATTCCATGAAAAATTAACTCGTTAATTCAGAAAAACAGAGCAAAAAAAAATCCATGAAAAATTAACTCATTAATACAAGAAAAAATAAAACAAAAAACTAAGGCGAACCTTTAAGTATTAAATAGTATTGAGTCCTGCAAGTAAACAGTTTGTGCTCCACAAATAAGAAAAGGTATTTATATTAAAAAATGAACCAACTTTTTCACAGCTCACAAAAAAATGCAATGGAAATGCCTTGAACGTTAATAACTTGATGATAAATCAGATTCTTCCAAACGTCAGTAATAATCCCAGAACGACGACAGTGACGAGCAGAACTCCAGTGATGAGTCCGATGCGGATCCAGGGGATCTCCTGATCCGAGATCAGCTCCAGAGGGTCACAATGACCTGCATTACACATTAGGGCTGTCAATATATCGCAACAATATGCATCTATATATTAAATATTTGAATTTTATATTATATATTACTTGAATATTATAAATACTTTGGCAAAACCTGACCTGCTGCCTTGGAAAATACATGAAAATAAAATAAGTTTGAGTGGAGATACTAAAACTACTAAATAATATCATGTAATTATATTTATTCACTCTGGCAGTGAATTTCTATGATCTGTTCTTCAACACAAAACTAACATTCGTCTTCAGGCTTGGAATATAGTGCATAGGCTGTATGGACGTCATAAATATAATGTGGAAGAATTATAAGCTTTGCATGCTTAATAAAATGTTCAATACACACCAGAAACGGTGCCGGCCTCGGGGAAGGCGGATACATCTGTCACCAACAACATTATATGAAAAGAATCAGTCATTGATTAACATGTATTGACTGTTATTAGTGATATGATCAGTAGCAGTACCTTCAGCTCTCTCGGTGTGTGTGTGTGTTGGTGCTGCGCTGCTCGCTGTAGTTTGAGTGCTGACAGCATCTGTGTGTGTGGGCACACTGATGTCCATTTCAGTCTGAGCTGTCGTAGCATGTGTGTGTGTCGGTGTCGTGCGGCCCGCTTCAGTCGGAGTGCTCGCAACAGTCGTCCAAGCTGGCACACTTGTGTGAGTGTGTGTGTGAGAGGTCAAGCTGACACTAGAGAATGAGTCCGTGGGGTCTGTCATCCCTGAAGACATAGCTGAGGAGAGAGAGAGAGAGAGATAGAGAGACCTGCTTTATTCATTTATTAAGATGGATTATATTTATTTATTCACCCATTATGAGTGGACACACCCCTACTGCTGATTGGCTCACTCTGTCTCCTCCCCATTCTGAGTGGACACGCCCCTACTGCTGATTGGCTCACTGTCTCCTCCCCATCATGAGTGGACACGCCCCCTACTGCTGATTGCCTGACTGTCTCCTCCCCATCATGAGTGGACGCACCCTCTACTGCTGATTGGCTCACTCTGCCTCCTCCCCATCATGAGTGGACGCACCCTCTACTGCTGATTGGCTCACTCTGTCTCCTCCCCATTCTGAGTGGACACGCCCCTACTGCTGATTGGCTCACTGTCTCCTCCCCATCATGAGTGGACACGCCCCCTACTGCTGATTGCCTGACTGTCTCCTCCCCATTCATGAGTGGACGCACCCTCTACTGCTGATTGGCTCACTCTGCCTCCTCCCCATCATGAGTGGACGCACCCTCTACTGCTGATTGGCTCACTCTGCCTCCTCCCCATCATGAGTGGACGCACCCTCTACTGCTGATTGGCTCACTCTGCCTCCTCCCCATCATGAGTGGACACGCCCCCTACTGCTAATTGGCTCACTCTGTGTCCTCCCCATTCTGAGTGGACACGCCCCCTACTGCTGATTGTCTGACTGTCTCCTCCCCATCATGAGTGGACACACCCCCTACTGCTGATTGGCTCACTCTGCCTCCTCCCCATCATGAGTGTGTACTCGGTTCTCAGTTAAACACACACACGTACCCCAAACAGTGAGCGTGTGCCTCTCCGGGAATCCGCTCCTCGGCTCCTCGTAATCCATGCTCTTGTAACGGCACTTATAAACGCCCTGGTCGGAAACACTGACCGACTGAATGGTCAGTGAGAGGACACCGCGAGAGATGTTGTGCTTGGGTGGCAATGCCAAGAAGCTTGAATCGATACTGACGTCCATCTTTCCAGAGCTCAACCGCAGAATCTCTTTGTCATCTTTCAGCCATTGGATGTAGATGTCTTCCCACGGTTTAGATTTCGGGATATTCCCAACGCAGTCCAAGGTGATATCCTCGCCCTCAGAAGCTTCCACATGATCAGGGAACGACTCTGGTTCTGCTGAAATACGAGAGAGCTTGTGTTGGCATTTATGAACTGGTACTATCTAGTGTACTAATCAACCGTCTCTCTTTTGTGAGTCAAACTGCAGTTCATCGACTGGCCACTAGAGGAGTCAGTCCCATAGACCCGCAACTTTACAGCAGAAAATAACATGGTTACAGCCCGGTGCAAAAAGTGTTTTTGGTCTATATAGCTAATTTAGCCCTTCATGACGACTGTGAGTTGTAAATCTTTTATAACACACCCGTTTATATGATATTAACCCTTAAAGTTCTGCATAATTAAGGGCGTGGCCACTTGAGTGACAGGTGGATTGCCGCTGATGTCACTGCTAGCCGTTTGTCTGCTGTGTGTTAGCGTTACTTACTCAACACTTTCAGGAATACAACGCAAACGGGCTTCCTATCCGACGAGAAACACTCGTATACATCTTCATCGTTCAGCATCACGTCAGTCAGAACGAGGGAAAAGTCCTTGGAGTCGACACGATCCCTGAGGAAACTGACCCGCCCCTCAAACGCCCTCCCGACCCTGATGATGTCACCGCCACCCGAGAGGACGTCTTTTCCCGTCGCCTCCCAGTAAACCTCCTGCTCCTCCGATTGGAATCTAGAAACATCGCAGGGCAAGATCACGCTTTTCCCGAGGATCGCCTGGACATTCGACGCCTGCAGGTACGTACCTGCACACACTGGGTGAGGACGTGCAATAATAATAACGAGAAATTAATACCAATGTTAATAGCCATTAAATATCAGATTCTTCTAAACACAGAAGAGGTTCCTCACTTACCACTGAAGGCTACAATAAAAACGAATGTAGTGCCAAGAATATTCATGTCCTCTTAGAAAACCTGGTGAATAATAATGATAAAAAATAAACTATTTAATCTATTAGCTTCCCAAAATGTGCATTCCATTTTGCAATTCGTTTTTATTGAAATAAAACTAAATAAATACTTTACAATATATACGTATTTTTTCCACATTACAATAATGTTCATGGTGAAAATATGCATAAATATTAAAATTATGCACACATACGTAAAACAAATGCATATATATTTTTAAATATACATATATATATTTATATATATATATATTATATATACATACATATGTATGTACATATATATATATAATATATAATAATTAATGTTTGCACAGCCTATATATATATATACACACACACACACACACACACACACACACACACACACACACACACACACACACACACACACACATATATATATATATATATATATATGCAAAGATTAGTTTTATATATATATATACAAAAATGTATATACACACAAACATATACATACATACATATATACACACACACTTTATAGTTTGACAAATACAGTTTGTTTTTATGACCCTGTGAGTTTAATTAAAGCATTGAAATATAAAGAAAATATATTATATGTTGTATTTTATATGAGGGAAGAACAAACACTAATATTGGTTAAGGTATTAATCGGACTAAACTATTTGGCAAAAAGGCAAACTACAGCTACAAGTTTTATTTTAATAGGCAAAAAAAAATGCATAGAAAATCAGAAACCTGTCAGGAAACAGTAAACATTGATTACAACATAATCATTTATTAATATTCCCTTGGTTGTCTCTTATTTTTATGTGTTCATAATTTATTCGTATGACATACTAGCCAAAAAATGATGTTGGCATGTATCATTGAGTTATCCCAAATATCATGCCTAGTATTATGCCTCCACATGATATTAATAATCTGGTATTGTCGGGCACGTGGTGGACGCCCACAGAATCAGCTCAAGCTTTATTTAATAGTGCTGACGTGCGTCACATGAGCCTGTAACCCGATCACATCAAACACTCGGGCTCACAAGCTTACTACTTATAAACCAAATCTACTTTTTCTAAATCACAAATTATGACACTTATATTCTGAATTGCATTATTAGACAACACAGCAATAGATAGCACATAGAAATCATTAATGCATCATTAGTTTCATTAGTTATTTTTGTTTTGCTTTATTAAAAGTATGAATTTATTTTTTATTTCAGTTTTGGCCATTTTAGTAAAAATGTTTGAGTTGAATAACACTGTAAGACACTAGTTATGTAACTTTAGTCATGGAAACAGCCTAATCTCTGTCCATTTAACTTGTATTTCCTTAAATAGACAGAGAACTGATCAATGTTAAATTAGCATCATGTTTAATGACAAGGAAAACAGATTTAGGCATTAAAAGGCACACTGCGCTATTCACACACATTTCATTTCTCCTTGTAACTTCTTGAGTTGCTTCATGCTTTATAGTAGAGGAATAACAGGATTCAGGAGTGAAATGAAACCACTAATATCATGTTATCTCCAGCTGATGCATCCCTGAGATGAGGAGGAAATGAAAGTACTCACGAGTCTGCCGTGATTCAGAGATTACGATCCTCAGAGCTGCTTCATTCAGTTAGTTCTGGTCTTCAGTCCAGGGTCACATGAGTCACATGCTGAACAGAGAGAACATGAATCCAGTGTATCTGAACATGATGCACATTCACGGCTCCAGCTGACGGGTGTTAAAATACGACCTGACGCATCATCACAATTATATTACACTGCAGAAACCGCTTTACCTGAGCAATATTGCAGTGCAAGTGGAGAGGTAAAGACTTGTTCTGTCGTGTGTGTGTGTGTAATATTAGATGAGATGTTACACCACGATCCTCTTCTGAATGATGGCATTTCTTGGCCTGACTGCAAGTATTTACACTCTTCAACACTCCTGGCAGAAACTCAAGCTCTGCTTTTAGACTAGCGAGACAATCCGTCGACTCGCATGAAGAACAATTACACAAAACAACAAGTTCGTAACAACTTAAACTAATAATTGATCATTTTTTATCTTCCCGGTGGATATGAATTAGTTTAAAGGGTAAATCTCACACACAAAAAAAAAGTGTCCAGGTCGCATTTCACTTGCAAGAATTAATAATATTGTTTTATTCAAATCTAAAAAATATATACTTTACAATACACATAGATTTTTACATTTAAAATTAGGGAGCAAATGTGCCTAAATATTAAAATAACATCACAATAATTAACGTCTTATTGGCTTTAAAATGTGAAACGTACATAAATATTAAATGTATGTGAGCTAGAATGTTATTATATATATATATATATATATATATATATATATATACACAAACACACACAGGGATGCACCAAAATTTTGGCCAATGAGATTACCGATAATTATGTATATTTGAAAGCCGATAACCGATAAATCCAAATTATTGGTTATTGGTAAATATATAAAAATGATAAATAATTTTTGAGCCTGATTACAAAGACAAACCCCCTAAAAATGTATACATTTTATGTAGCTATGGGGCTGGACAACTATTAATCGCGATTAATCGTATCCAAAATAAAAGTTTGTGTTTGCATAATATATGTGGGTGTAGAGCGTATAATTATATATATACACATACACACACACATGCATGTTTATATTTAAGAAATATTTGCATGTATATACTGTATATAGATTTATAGATAATTTATATAATATAATAAATGTTTTATTTATTAATAACACATTTTTCTTAAATACATACATGCATTAATATTAATTATTGCCCAGCCCTAGTGTGTGTATATATATATATATATATATATATATAACTTTTTTTTAAACTTGATTTTCACAAACCAACCAAAAAAAGTGTGGAACACGTTTGTTGTTTTGCTCTTATCTGTGACGCCATTATGAGAGATATAAAGCGGGAAATATTTCAACTCATTTAATATTATACATTCATACAAATGTGAATAATACACTGGATTTCAACAGTCAGAAATATTACCATGAGTGTTCAACACACGCATCAGTCGTTTCTCATCTAGAGACGATGATTAAAACTTAAGCTTTAAAACCACACCATCTAAAACACTCCATAAAAATGTTAAACTTATGTTTACATGCAGGGTACACTAACGGCTCCACGATACACGCGCGCACATGTCTCTGATGGAGTGAGTGGAGTCACATGACGCCTGAGATATTAATAGGTCTGTCAGTGGAGACTCACGCTCAGGTCTTCCAGCTGTACGAGTAGTCTCTCATGTGCAACTGTCTGAGCGCACACTTTCCCAGAATGCTCGGCGCTGCCAGCTGCTGAACTGAGCTCTGCTGGAGCCCACACCTGCCCAGATCCTGTACAACACACTCCTAGAGGAGAAGAAACCAGAGCATGAGACCTTCAGGAGCAGCTACACACACACGGGGTGTGACGGTTATATGTTATATGAGCCATTCCACCAAAAGGGTGACATTTCTGTCCCCAGGACATTATATATATAAAATTGCAAGAAAATTAACTCTAAAATACATTTGATTATTAAGCAATAACTACAAATTTAAAAAGTATAATTAAAAACATTAATAAAAACGAGACGGAACACTAAAAAATAGCATTTTCTGCACGTCCCAACTCTATCTCTAAACTTTACCATGAAATATTATGATTACAATCCTTCAGAAATCTGATTTTTCTGGCATTGTTGTATGACTTTATATCCAAACTGCTTTAAAATGAAAAAAAAAAAAAAAAACATTTGATCTAATATTTTAGATAAAATACACATTTTAGTCACGTCCCCGGGTTTTCCACTCAGTCCTGTTATAGAATATTCCACAAGACACATTTTCAACAGGAAGTTGCATCATCTGGATCTTCTGAAGGCAATGGGGCGACTATAAGTCACTCCTCTCGTTTTCATTTTTATTTGATGAAATTGCAACTATGAATGCGAAGGTCAATCTCAACATACAGTCCTGTTACCTAAACTTTTTCTTGGGTTTAATTTTTTATTTTAAAAATATTAACTTTTGGTAAGGCACCAGAAATGGCTCAGCGTCCTCACGCTATTAGCATCAATGCTATGTGGCCATATGCCATATATTTGATGGCATACTTTTTGATTAAAAACTCAATCTTTTTTTCTAAAAAATAAATAAAATTAAACCACTCTTTTTATCAGTTTTGTTTGGCCCATAATTTATACAAATATTTCATGAAATAATTCTAAAAAAAAATTTAAGCTTGAGGCTTCGAAAAATGCCTTTGTGTTTGATTTTTTTTTAATCAAAATACACCTTGCTTTAATAGTGATTTTATTGGCACAGATATCTATTTTTGAACATATAACCAACAATTTCTTTAAAATAAACACTTTCTTGTGGGGAAAACAAAGGAATTAATTGACATGCTTCTAAACTTGCTTTTTAAATGACACAATTTTTGGTAACAGGATTGAGAAAACATGCGTCCATATTCTGCTTAAACCTTGTAAAAAAAAAAAATAAAGTTGCCTGAGATTGACCAATACACATTTTGAATTTGAATAGTTAAATATGTGTAGTATTAGATTCAATGTTGATAAAGTTTATTTTTGAAGAGTTACAACAAGCAAACGTCACTCATTCGGTGGAATGGCCCATATAGGAGTGATCCAGCTCTCAAATTTAATCAAAAATAACTTAATGTGTGTTCTGAAGATGAACGAAAGTCTTACGGGGTTGAACACATGAGGGTGAGTCATTACTGACAGTGTTTTCATGTTTGGGTGACCTGTCCCTCTAAAAGGACCGAGTTCAGGACCCAACCCACGTCGAGCGGTTTAACGTACCGGTTGTGTCTCCGGCTCAGAGCTCTGGCTGATGGGAACGTTGAGGACGGCCGTGGGTTCGTGTGTGTAGAGACCCGCAGAAAACTCTCCTCTCTGAGCCGGTCTCAGGAGCTGCGT